GAATACGAAAATTTAAAATAGAAAATTTTTTGTGAAACAGCTATCATTGAAAAAGGAAATTGATCGATATATCTGTACGCATAGAAATTAAAAATCATATGATTTTTCGTAATTTTCATAATTCTGCCCAAAATTTATAATTCCAACCAGAATTATAAAAATTGATCAGATTATACTGGATAATTCAAAATCTGATGAATAGAAATCTGGATGATCTGAAATTTGATCAGATCAAATGACAGATTAATCAGATTTCACTAGAGCTGACCTTTAAGTATGGTTGTTTATGATAACTTTTTTTTCAACTTTTCTTATCATCAGTTTCTATTTGTATAATATTATTTATTTGTTTATTTTTGCCTTTTATATCGGAGGACTTAGCATCATCATCATTCTATTTTCAGAATTAAAAATAGTGTAAAATTGATATATTCACCTGTTATTTTAAAGCTAGTGCCTTAATTTTCCAGTCTAATACTGCTAAATTTATAGCTACTTCTAAGTCTTGTACTAATAAAATTGTCAAAATGAAAGAAACTGCTACTTTTAACGTTAGGCTTTTTTTTAAAACTGAGTTAAGATTTTTAGTGTTTAAAGCATTCTCAAAGTTTTTGAAACTTCTTTTCTCTTTTTCAATAAAAGTTTATTTGCAAATACTTGACTAAGTAGTAGTAACAGTTTTTAGATTTGTTATCTTTGCAATCTTCTAATAACAATTTTTCTTTGAAACTTTAATACATAATCTAATAAATTGATCTAATATAGTAGAAGGTAATCAATTATAATGTAAAAAGCATAAAACTTATCAAAAATACACTTATTAAAAATTAATAGTTAGTGTAGTAATAGCTTATTTAAATATAATTACACTTTATCTATATATTATTATACTTTAAGGTTGTCAACAGTTCAATTAAAGAAAGTTTGAAATGCTTCTGAAAGTTCAGAGAAATCAATACTAAAGTTACAAGTAAGACAGGAAGAATCTTTAAAAAGTGGTTTTACAATTCTAATGTTTTAGTTGATCTTAATATACAGTTGGTAATGAATTTTCTGATACTTTAGGAGATCATTAAGTATATGAAACATATTCATAGAAGTATATCAATAGTTATTTCAGTTTTGCAGTAATACATAAACAGGAGAAGAGAGTTCTGTCATCATTATCAAATGTTAACATATAATTTTTTCAGGTTGTAACTATTAGATATAGTATCAGAAGGTTGATTTTTTATAGTTTATATATTGTTCTAATTAGTTTTACACTAATCTTAGTTATTTTACTACTGGCTTTATCAAGTTAAATTGAGTTTATTAAATACAAATAGCTTTAATCACAGATTAAAATATTCACAGTAATCACGAAGAGTTTTATGATGGAAAATAAGTAATACTTTATTGAAATAGAAAGAAAATAAAAAATGATAAGATATAATAAAAATAAGAAAAAAAATAAATAAGAGAAGTATATGAAGTAGAAGAGTAGTATTGTGCTATCTTTTATAAGAGAGATTTTATATAACTATCAGTTTGTCTTTTTTAACTTACAAAGAGCTTGTATTTATATTTATTCTATTATATATTTTGATATATCAAATATATTAATTATATTAACTATATTAAATATTTCTAATCATATTAAATATATTAACTATATTAAATATGTTAAATATGTTTAATATATTTGACTTTTTATACTTTGTCACATATTTACAGATCTGTAATCATCAAGATTAACACCAGATTATAGTATTTAAAAATAAATAAAACTAATTTCAATTAAAAATAATATTAAAATGCAGTAAATTTCATATTTTTAAATTATTTTGACATATAATAATTCAATTTTATCAAATATACTTTAACAACATGTTTTTCAATAAGATAAATATAATAATTTTAATTTTATATCTTTATAATTAATATCTTATAAAGTATTTATATTTATATATTTTAATGTTAATAAAGCTAAAATTGTATTGTATAAAAAATTTCTTAATGTATTTATATAAAAAAATTTGAAGAATAATATCTAAATAAAATAAAAAATTCTATTAATCAAAATTGTTAATTCAAAAAAATATAATGGCTATCACCTATAAATTGCATTAGTTCAAAATTTTGAATGTTGATTTTCATGTGATATTCACGTAATTTAGCATATATTCACATAATATTACATTTTTTTTACATTGTGAAGCCATTAGCATTTATTATTTTATTTTATTTAATTCTGCTAATACATATTCAGAAATACAACAGTAAGATTTATATTTTTTGGCAGCATATTCTGCCAATTTATCAGTTATTCCTTTTTTATACAAATCTATGTAACGTTATGTCTTCCTAGTAAATTTTCTTATTGTAATTATACTAACAGACTCTAAAGCTGCAAAATAACACGTTGTAAGTTTAACCAAGAATAATCACAATTCTTTCGAGCATATCTTTTTGTCACTTTAGTATTATTCAATATAGTTCAGTTTACAGTAAAACTTTAAGTAAAATATACATTTATATTCAACTTCTAATATTATTTTCTTTAATGCATTTTTTTGAAATAAAAAATCTGGCTGTAATGAAATGATTCTTTATGCATAACAATTTGTCTGATTTATATCTTTATTCTTATTCTTATACAGCTTACAATCAGCATTTAACCTATCTTTTCACAATTTATACTCAATTAATATTTGTTTCATTTCTTTCAGTTTATTATTTTTATTAACCATTAATTAATATTAGTTATCTGGTTCAAAAACTGTGTCTCTTATCTTCAGTTACTTGCCTTTAGGTTTTAGATTTATTTTACTTACTATGAGTGCATTAAATCTATATACTACATGATTCAAACTATTATCAAATGCAAACAAGGCAATACAGTTTAGAAAAATTACTTCAAAAACTGGTATAGCTTTTATTTTTACTTATTTGATTAAATACTCACTTATCCAGAAACCTTTCTGATCTTTTCTCAATTAAAGATAAACTCGAACTTCTTTAAGTATAGAAGGGTTTTGTTAATATTATTGTGAGTTCAATTTAAATCAACCACATTTTTCTATCAAGAACTCACTAACTATAATAGAATAACTGTTTCCTTTCTTGTATAATAGCAATTTTTCAGACTTTGCTTATATATTCTATTTTCTATTATTTAAGTAAAATATACACTTATTATACATTACATGAATTATTTCCTTCTATTAAATTTTAATATTAGTAATATTTATTTTATACTTTCACCTTCATACTTTACTATATTTTTTTCATAGTTATAAATTTTATCTAGAAAAGTTTGTCAATATTTTATAATATTAGTATACTTGTGACTATCATAGTATATGCTTTATATAATACAGGTAATATTAGTAATCTAGTTTTTAGTATTTTTTAACCATCTATAATATACTTGACTTACCTTATTTTTGTGACTGAAAAAATATCCAAGTACATTAAGCCAACGTGTCACAGTTTCTATACTAATGATTTTTTTTTATTATTCTTGAATCAATAAGTAGCTTTTATTCAATAAATTTTTTGAATTTTAGCAAAGTGATCTTTTTACCTTATGATCGAATCTAAGTAGTATTAGAAAAACTTTTAATAGAAGTTATCAGAAAAATATAAAAAAATTATATGATTATAAATCACATGATTTTACTAATTATGTAAATCAAAATTGTGGTAAATATAAATAATTATAAGACATTTGAACCTTATAATTACAATAAGATATTTTACTTTTAATTATTAAAATTAATAATTATTTTTACCAAAAATAAAAAGAAACTAATCTATTTAATTTTTATTTTATAAAATATAAAAGATAAAAAATTACAAATTTAATATTGAAAATTATTATTTATAAAAAATCTTTATAAGATCTGATATCATTTCTAATGTTTTAAAATGCTAAAAAATTTCCAAATTTTCTTTTGTTAAAGTAAAAAAAAAACCTTGAGAATTAAAAAGAGATGAATCAAAATAATATAAAACTTCTTTGCTAGAATGTAAACAAATAATTTTCCTCCTGCCTCACATGTATTTATCTAAAGATTATCATAAATATTCAGATAAATATTAACTGAAATATATAATAAATAATCCAAAAAATTTGCTTTTTCTATCCAAGCATATTGTTAACCTCACTTTTTATATATTGAGATAATTTGAGTAATACAAAGTTTCTTATCTGAATAAGTGATTAAATATCCACCTGAAATTAAAGAATGAAAATTAGATATATTTGTATTAATAATATTATACACTTAAAAAAAGAAAAAAATAAATTAAAGTTATTTATAAATAAAATTACTTAAATTTTATAATATCAAAAAAAGAAATACTTACTGTTAGTTCTAACAGCTATTGGAATAGTTACAAATCTTTTATGTCCTTCTTAACATTTATTTTATCAATTTTACAATTTTTTTATACATTTAAATCATTTGTCAATTTAGTAATTAATTAATTAGCATTATTAAGATTAAGTAAATCAGATTTTTTAATTGTTTCAGATATTTTAGATTATGCTTGTTTATTAAAAGTACTTTTTAAATATCATGTAAAGGTATTATGATTTTTTTGAATATTAATTATAGCTTTAAAATGTAAAAATCTTTCAGGTATAAATAGCAAATCAAACCTTTCAAATTGCTTTTGAGACACTGGTTTCTGATTAAAAATGTAATATAAATCACGAAAAGTTGTTAATAAAATATTTATTGCTTCATTTTCATTTCTCATATTTGATTCATTATCTGATTCATTTAATAAGAGCCGAGATACTTCAAATACAATAATTCTAATATTTTCAATTTCTATCTGTGATTTAATAGATTCTAAAATAAAAGTTTAAATTAAAAAAAAATAATAATATTAATAAATATTAAAATAATTTTTATGCTGGTTAAATTTTGATATTGATCATCATTATTATTAGCTATTTCTAAATTATTCTGATCATTTGATAAATGTTCATCATGACAAATAAGTTATCACATTAAAGGTGCAATCTGATTATTAATTTGAAGATATTCTGTAAATGATATTACTTCATTATATCCAATATGAATTATTTCTCTAAAGTCATCTTCAAATAGCCAAGTACGTAAATATTCAATAGTATAATGAGAAAGAGAAGTACTATTAATATTAAATATATAACTTAGATATACAAATTATATTAATTTTTTATAAATACATTTTAATTAATATAATAAAATTTCTACCTCCAGCTGATGTTTGATCTCTTGATATATTAATTAATCTAATACGTGAAATTTTATCTTGATATATTATGCATTTTTGAATTTTATAAAATACATAAAAGTTTAAATTAGCTATATTTGTCGTAATATACTAAATATATGTTTAAGAACCTCAGTTCTATGTTTTCATAAAAATAAAGGATAGTTAGAATAATATTTTTGATGAATTATAATAAGCATTATTAAAGATTCTGTCATACTAATAAAAATTTCAAAACTTTGTATAGATATAATATTATATTGCATATTATACTATTTTGATGAATGAATTATACTATAATGTTGAATATAATCTTTCCATACTTTAAAAAAAAAAAAATGCACACATAACCATTTTAATCCTTACTTTATGATCAATTTTTTGATTAAGATATATATCACATAATTTTCCTAATAATTAAATAAATTAATTATTATAATAAATAATTTTATTATTTAAATATAAAACAATTTACTAAGAACAAATAAATTAGAGGTATGCTTCAGTGAAATTCATTCAATCTGTCATCTGATCTGATCAAAAAATGGATCATTCAGATTATGAATGAACGGATCGCGGATAATCCGGATGTGATCCTCAGATAACATCAGATTGAGCAGATAACCGGATTGATCAGATAATTCAGTCATTTTATTTTATTTTTTTTTTTTTAAAAAAAAAAACCACCTTATTTTCTTTAGGATCGGACATGGACATGGACATGGACTTGAACTTC